ACCCGTAACCCGACCGACTCAACCCGAACTTCATTTAATCCACTTGAATAATTATTATAATATACAATACATATTTTTTCAAAATAAAGTTTTTCATTCTAAACTTAGGAAAAATTATTTTTTTTCATTTCATATAGGAAATTTAAAAAATATGAAACTCACTTGGTATTATGTATTTTAATAAAATTACAAAAATTGAAACATGAAGGTCACTTGAACACTAAGTTTTTTAATAAAATTAAAAAAATAAATATAAAATATAAAATCAACATAATGTCAATATTAATAATGATGAATTAATAATTGAGATCATGGATAATATTAATATAATATATAAATTAAACTATAAATAAAAATATTAATAATGAAGAATTAATAATTAAGATCATGGATAATATTAATATAATATATAAATTAAACTATAAATAAAGTAAAGTAATGTATTTGGTAATTTGATGTTTTTAAAAGAAGAGAGAAATTTTGGTGTATTCAACTTTTTGGGAAGAGAAATAAGAGGAAAATTTGGTTCTTTAAATTTTTTAGAAAAGAAACAAGTGGGAATTTTGGTGATTTTGATTTGTGGGAAGAGAAAGAAGTGGGAAAGTTTGGTTCTTTTGATTATGAAAGAGAAAAAAGGAGGGAAATTTTGAGTTTTCAACTTTTTGTAGAAGGAATGAAGGAAGAGAGAAATTTGGTTCTTTCAATTTTATGGAAGAGAAAAAGGAGGGAAAGTTGAGTGTTTTTAATTTATTGAAGAAGAAAGAAGGAGTGAAATTTTAGTATTTTTTATTGTGAAAAGAAAGAAGGAAACAAATTGGGGCTTGCTATTTGCCGCCAAAAAAATTGCTATTTGCCGCCAACTAAAAAAAAAGTATATATGCACATCCTTGGTTAAGAAGTTTCACAATCTACAACTTTCAGAAAACGTATTGAATCAGAAAAAATCGACGATTTGCAATGAATAGACGGTGGGCCGAAAATTTTTCCGGCAAGTTTTCCAGTTTTCCGGCGAAAAACACGGTGGCCCGAAAAAATTTTGCGGCCGGTGCGCCGCCGGGCCGAAAATCTTTTTCCGCCCGTCGACGCCCCGACCGCAATTTTTTTTCGGTCGGCCGACGAACACGCCGCCGGAAAAATTTTGGCCGGCGTGTTCGGCGACCGGCCGAAAAAAATTTGCGGCCGCGGCGCCTCCGGCCCGATAGAAAGTTTCGGCTGGGCGTCGCACCGGCCGAAATTTTTTTTCGGCTCGGCGGCGTTCCGGGCACAATTTTTTTTCGGGCCACCGTGTTTTTCGCTGGAAAACTGGAAAACTTGCCGGAAAATTGGAAAACTTACCGGAAAGGTATGAAAATTTACAAATGTTGTTTAAATTTTAGTAAAATGTTATTTATTTCAACATATGTCTTGTTTTTTTCACGATATTTGTTGAAATAGGCTAAAAATGTTATAAACAAACGCATCCATCATATGTTATTCTATTAAAATTGTACACAAGAAAAAGGATTATGTGAATCATTACTATATTCAATTTATGTCTAAACTTTAAATCGAAGAATGCATTAGATTAGGGAGATCATGAGAGAAAAACATGGCGAAATATCTTAATTTTCTCATAAGTATATGACTATATACTACATAAATATTTTTTAGATCCGAACTCATACTAATAGTTGGAACACGGGTTGGGTCGGGTTCTACGGGTTGTGTAATCCAAAATCCAAACCCAACCCAAAAGAGGCGGGTTGTACAAAAGAAACCCCTCACTCAACCCAAAACCTTCGTTTTAGCGATAAATACGGGTGAGTTGGTTCGGGTTGGACGGGTGGGTTGGTTTGCGGGTGTGTTTGTTCACCCCCTAGTTAATGGTATCCGAATTTATAGAATGAAAGGAAGGGAAGGAAGGGAAAATTCAAATTTTGAATTCCATTTTTTTTTAGTTGGCGGCAAATAGCCGTTCACAACAAATTTGGTGTTTTCAATTTTTGATTTTTCAAAATTTTATTCTTTGAAATATGAATCTTTAACTTTTATATGGAGGGCATGACTAGTTAAATTTATTCTTATATGTTTTGAAGGCCAATATGTATATGTATATAATTGTTTATGGCTAATAAATAAATTAAGCATTAGTTACAACAATTATACTAAATTTGATAAGTAATCTTTGACGGTTCGTTATTTTGGGTATAAAGTATATGGTTAGGATAGGGTGTATATGGTTAGTGTATAAGAATTGATGATTTTGACGGTTCTAAGTTTTTTTATTAACATATGTTCACTTGAAGTCATTTGAAATCTTTAACGGCAGGAGATCCCTTTTCAATTTATGTTTATGGTACGTGGCTAGAGTACAAGGTATGTGGTGTAAAGTATAGGATATATGGTTAGGGTATAACAATTAGCAAATATCACATTTTATCTATGTTTTGAAAATCAAAGTATGAATTTCACTATTAAATTAACTATACTAGCAAAATCACAACTCATTGATATATGGTTAGAGTATAGGGTATGTGGTTAGTGTATAATGTATTGATAATTTAGGGTATACAATCAACAACATATACTAACTTAATATTGTTGATTGAGGGTAAGGCTAAGTGTATAGGATATATGTTATTGAGTAAGTTATGATTGAAGTCACAATAATTTTACTAAGTTTGATAGTTAATCTTTAATGGTTCAATTTTAAGGATAATTCGAACAATTTTACACATAATTCGTTTGGCAACAGTTTACCGAAGTTATTTGGGCAATGAGTTATTTCGAAATAACTCCTTTTATCACTCTGCTTTTGCCAAATATCACACGCCAAATACCAGATTTGCATGGTTATACTAAACGAGATACTTTAATCCAATTACTACTGAATTAATACTAAAATATCAAATAAACAATTAATGGTGTCTTTTGGTTGCAAATATTGATATCACCATTACTATTAGCTAGTATGATTAATTGCATAACAAGTTTGCAAGTCATACAAATTGATTTAACATTTTGACTAGTTTTTTTCAAAAAAAAATTAAGTATATATACATACGAGGTAGAAATAAATTGGTTAAAAAGTTGAGAAAATATTTTAAAGGGCTAATATCACTAAAAATACCAACCTTTAGCGAAATTTCCATTTGTATCACGAAATTTCAATAATTACAATAACATTCCAACCTATTAGGGGTTAGTGTCATTTGTGTTATGCGAATTTCAGTTGACCATTAAAGTTAACAGTTGACTTAACGGTGATCAACCTATATCTGACCATTGATTATGTGGTGCTTATATGTCCTACACATAGGTGTCATGTAGGAAATTAAAATTTAAATAATTTTATTTAATAATTAATATTTTTGCCTCTCTGTTGCGGCTGGAAAATTGGAACTGCATCCCTTCCCTTTCCGTCCGCCATCAACTTCCTCCAATCGGTAACTCCGCCGAACTATTAGCATACGACGTCCTCCCCGAATTCATCTTCCCCGTCGACCTCCTCCCCCAGACTCCAGAGTGCCACCGGCTACGAACTCGACGCCACCTGCACCTTCAATCTACAAGGATCGTACCAGGTGAAAGACAAATCTGTCATCGGCGGGTACAATAATGAGAATCAAAGGTCTCTTCGCACCCGGGGTAGCAGCAGGGGATTTCTCTGTTTTTGCTTCTTCAGAGGAAGGTAAAAAGGATTTCAATCGCTCTTCCTGGCGAATCCGTACTTCCTGGAGACTTGAATCACCAACCATAAGAACACACGCCATTGATGCTCAAAATAAATCGTTCTTGGAGCGAATCGAATCAAAGTGCTTGATAAGCCCACACTTCATTAAGGTCGTCTAATAGGCGGAGTAAGGTCTCGGCGGCGATGAAATGAGGATCGGCATCGGTGATGAATCAGATCCTTCCGCCAGATCTATAATCTCTCTCTCTCTCTCAAGCTTTGAAGGAAGTAAAGTTGTTGGCTCATATGAAGGATTAAGAACGATGGTGGTCAGCGAGCGGCGGAAACTTCAGATGGTGAAAGTTGATGCTACGGAGATTGAGGGAGAAGCATATGAGAATGTACAGGGAGGGAAGAGATTTTTTCTTCCTGAAAGAGGAAGAGATAAGGTTCGATCGAGAGAGAGAGAGAGAGGGGAGAGGGAGAGCTAAGAGGGTTAATTTTAGTTTTCTTATGAATTTAATATTATGTTGCTTTTTTATGATATTTTAAATAGTTTTAATTATATTTTTGGTTGGTTCAAATTTCCACGTCAGTGCGCTAGGTAGGCGCTGACTATGCTTTGAATAGTCGCCCCGTTAAATATAATGGTCAAACTAACGGAAAAGATGATTTGGTATACAAATGTCATATCAATAGTTTCGTAAAATAAATAGCAATTTCACTAAAGATTGGTATTTCTAGTGGTATTAGCCCTATTTTAAATTAGTGTAATAAAATGTGTAAGTTGGTAACGAGTAATGAGTAAGTTACTCGATGCGCTGGCCCGAACAACCCGAGACCCGATCCCCCCGCAACCCGCCCGACCCAAAACCCGATGAACCAGCAACCCGATTTGCCCGCAACCCGATTGAACCCGAACCCGATGAACCCGCAACCCGACTAACCCGCAACCCGTTTGAACCCGAACCCGATGAACCCAAACCCGATGAACCCGCAACCCAACTAACCCGCAACCCGTTTAAACCCGAACCCGATTGAACCCGGCCCGAACCCGCCCGAACCCGCCCGATTGACACCTATAGTTACGGTGACCTAAAAGCGTAAGATTTTGTATTTGCGTGGTTTTGACTCACGGGTGATTTTGCTTATGAGCACACTATCGAATGTGCACTCTCATTCATCCATTTGAGTACGTGAAAAGCGCTACTTGATAACGAGGTATAAAAATTCACAAATCATAACAGCATGATGATTGCGGTACTAAGCACAACAATAAGAAAGGCTTAATGGTAAGTAGGCCTCGATTCGATGGTCGGGCCAATTTAATTAATTACCATTACCAACACTAATCCCCTCCTAGAGAAAGAAACTCCTGATCCTTCTCCAGCTTCTCCATGGCCCTACTCTCCAAGCTAATCTCCACGTCGATCCCGCCTTCCTTCCCCCGGTACAAAAACACCCTAGTACGAAAAACAACTACGTCATCAACGGGCCTAAGCCCATCACCCCACACATCTTATCGGGCCCAAGCCCACGAAATGAAGCCCAAGACTCCTATAAAAGGAGACTCATGCCTCCAACCCAAGGGGGATCCTCTCCTTCTCTTACTCACTTTCCCCTAAGGTCACTCTCTACTTTATCTCTCTACATACCACACACTCTCTCTTATATCGTACTAACTTGAGCGTCGGAGCATAGATCCCGGGGGCCACCCCCGCCTCACAGGTTCTTCCAATCTCGAGGAGATCGAGTGATGGATTCCAAATCGGAGCCCGTAATTACTATGTTAGCCCTAGGTACATTCTAGGGTGAAACAATTTGGCGCCCACTGTGGGACAATGATTTGGATATTCTGATTTTGGTTTCCGAAGGAGGGAAGAAAATATGTTCTTCCTCTAAAAACATTTGCCGCCAAGGTTCACCGGAGCAAAGACAACAAAGAAACAGGAGCCGCAAGCAAGTCGGGGAAAGAAGCTCGGATCGGCTACCTACCTCTACAAGCAATCGGAAGCAACAAGAACAAGAAAATTAATCTTTATAAAAGGAGAAGTAAAATCGGAAACAGAAGTTTCAACGAGCAAAATGGGAAAAGGAAGTGCGAAATTCCCAGACGGCGACCGAAACGCATCCATGTCGGCCAGTCACACATCACCGCCGGAACAGGTCACCATCGTCACCGGTTGCCGCCAGCCAATCTGCATCGCCACCCAAAACCAGAACCGCTTCCATTCCGACCTGACAAAAGACGAAAAGAAAAACTAGCAGCCATCATTCTTGCCTGAGCCATTCTCGAAGATTCCCGGTCGTCAACATCACTCCGTCACCGCAATCGACGACAAGAAATAGCAGCCGGTGAAAGAAAATGCAAATTTTCCAAATTCTTACCACTGAAATAAGGTCCAACGTCGGGACTCCGATGAAAAGAGAAGAGGTCGTAGTCAACATCACACCCTTCTCCTTCTCAAAAGTTGAACCTGCCCCGCTCCGCTACAGTGCTTGCAGTCAATTTTGGTCCTTCCTCCTTGTCATGTCATCCTAGCTGTCAACAACAATTTTTCTCTCTCCATCGTGAAAAGCAGATCGACGAAGTTCCCGAGGCAGGCTGCAAGCATCATTCAGTGGAAACGCCAAGAGAGGGAGAAGAAACCAAAGGCGTCTAGTCCAGGCCAATTGATAACATCGTATTTGCACATGTTTGCACCCTCGTTTCTTGATCATTTTGGCTTGAGTTTTTGTCTTTCTTGGACTATTTTACGCTAGGTTGTGTTCCTTTGTCACATTTCAGGTCCTAGCATGTAAATTGAAGCATAGGCGCAAGTTTCAAGTCAATCAGAGATCATTTGGCAATTCGGGAGAAGAAACACGAGCATGACCTGAGGAATAATGGACTTCTACATCCTATTATGGACAAATAATCATGGAATTATGTCATGAAAAGAAAGAGGACGAGACTACGAGCGTCTGGGATCAAACGGCGACTGATTCGGAGTCCGGACGAGGGAGAAATAAAGCATTAAACAGAGGTTGGGTAAGCCACACGGGCATCCTGGAACTCCACACGGCCGTGTGGGTCGTGGCCGTGTGGAAATCACCGAGCCTTCACACGGGCAACTGGGAAAGCCACACGGCCGTGTGGCCTGGCCGCTTGATTGGGAATTTCTGTTTAAAACCCGATTTTCTGCAAAAGGAAAGGGGAGAGCTGGGTTTTTGGTTCCCAAACACCCAAGGGACGAACCCTAGAGAGAGAGAGCGACTTGGGAACATTCTTGGAGCTATTGTGGAGGATTTCTTCGCCATTGGAGCTCGGGAATCAAGCTTGGAGATGGAGATTGAAGATCTAGATCAGATTTCTGCAGTCTCTCTCTTCTCTATGGAGTAACTTCCCTTCACCTAGGTTTTGAGGAACCCTAGTTCCATGTATTAGGATCTTTCTTGTATGAAGTTTTGGATGCTATATTGTGTGATTATAATCGATTGAGGCATGATTTGTTGAGTCAATTGAATCTTGATCAAATTCTCTTGATTTCTGCTTTAACCTATGATAGATAGAATCTGATTAGGTTAAGAGAGCTTCCTTGATTGATAGTGGTGAATTGGTTGTGCGAGAGTCAATCAATTCACTGCTTTGTACTGGAATTCATTCCAGTAGTGGAGTTCTGTGTTCATAGCCTCAGCTTTCTATCCTGGTGAAGACTAGTCGTCTGCCGGGTAGTTGGACTGAGAGGGCTTGGTCAGCTTAAGATATTCCAAGCTAATTTAGGATCTTCCGCAGTTTAATCATCAATAGATCAACCAAAGGTAATTGCAACTTGGACCTAATTGAGGAGCTAGAGGGAATCATACCTAAGTGAGTTCCCAACTTGTAATTAGTAGAGTAGTCAGTAGACTAGTTTATAAATCAATCCTTAATCTAGTTTGCTAGATAATGAACTGAAGCTGAGTAATAGTAACTCTAGAGACCCGTGGATTCGATATTTATTACTTGTGCCACTATACTGCAGTCCCTTTCATTGGTTACACTTGGCCATTGTTAGGTGTTGTGTTTTAGCGTGTCACCAATCTAGTCCAGGCCAATCCGGCCCGCCAAGGAAATCAACCCACTCAAACGCGTCAGGCCCAAAGCATCCCACCAGCCCATCAAGACGCAGCCTGCCACCAATAGCCAGCCCATCCAGACGCGGCCTCCATGTCTTAGGTCGCAACCGCTTCCAACTTACGGTAAGACCCACATTATTTGAGACCGCCGCCAGCCCGTGATCAAGCATAGGCAACCAATCCAGTCCAAGCCAATCTGGCCTGCCAGGGAAATCAACCCACTCAAACGCGCCAGGCCCAAAGCATCCCACCAGCCCATCCAGGCATGGCCTCCATGTCTTAGGTCGCAACCACTTCCAACTTACGGTCAGACCCACATTATTTGATACCGCATTGGCCCGCAAACGCCTTCAACAAAGCTGAAGCACAGCTCGCCTAGTCGTCAACGCATCCGGCCCACAACACGACAACCACAGTGTCGGCCCGCTTCGTATTTGGTTGCACGAAACGGTCCCCCCTCGCGTCGAATGGGCCAGCCTCCATTAGGCATGTGCTGTGCATCCATTCAGCTTCGTCAGCCCTTAAACGAAAAACGCCTCTGCCAAGCTTCGAACACATGTTCACCAGTTCACAAGCGGGAAAGCCAACCGGTTGGCTACAATGTTCACTTGTGTCTAAATGACGGCTATCCTTTATTTACTTCTTTCCAAGATCCAACCAAATCACGTGCATCAACTGATCAAGCATGCATCGTCTTCAGAAGTCAACCCGCTCAACTGCATCAAATTCACGACACTAAGTCCGACCCAAGGCCCAGCTAGTTTACAGCCCACTCTCGCCTTCATTATCACAACGCGTGTCTTCCATTCACAAAGACCGTCGCGAACATTGAATCACAAAAGAGTCTGTCTCCAATTCTGAGACCCGGACCGCCCTCCACTTCACTGCATAGACCCGCTAAAGCCCGACAAGTCCACGCGTCCGGCCCATAACAAGGCCCGCCTCCGACCACAACCCACATTTCGTGACCAACCGCATCGGACCTACAAGCCGCCTCTGCCAACCCAATCCGCCTTCAAGTCCACAACGCAGCCCATCTCTGTTTGACCCACTCCACAACAAGGCCCGCCTCCGACCACAACCCGGGTCGGGTCTGAAGGACGACCCGCTTTTCATTTAATTACAAAAATGAAAGAGAAAGCACCTTCTCCGAGTTTCGAACCCGCGTGTTGTCAATCCGAAGGCTGCCTACCAGTAGACTAGAAGAACACCATATGTTCAAAGTTTTGCAACGCCATATATGATCACCGTGACCCGTCTCCAATCGACAACTCCACGCAGCCGCTACACCTTCCTCTAAGGCCCAGCAAGCAATGACGAGGCTCGCTTCGCATTCAAAGCCCTCCAAAGAAGAACAACTTCAATCAAAGTAAAGGTCAGCTCCGATTCGAATCGAACTTGAGACCAAGAATTCAGAAGCAAAGCATCCAACCAGCAGGCTAGAAGACATGTTGGTGCTCAATTGCTCAACTCCTAGGTTTTTATCAATATCCATGTTGCTCCTCCAACTCACCGCAAAGCTAAGTATATTCTTCAAGAATATATCTTTCAAATACCATGCCATGAAGATCATTACCATGATAGAAAAATTTCGAATGAAATGTCGTGTCATGAAGAGGCTCGACATTCCCAAATCATCTTATGCTCATATTTATGCTCTACAAATATTGGGCACTAGCCACTGACACCTTTCACAGTTATACATTCATCCCGCCTTCGGATGAAGATACTAGCATGAGGATGTTCCGCCTCGCGGCGATGCTACCATCGAGGGAAGGATTCCGCCTCCGGGCGATGCTCTCATCACGAGAAAGTCCCGCCTTCGGGCGATGCTCTCATCGCAAGAATGTCCCGCCGACGGGCGATGCTCCCATCACAGGAATGTTCCGCCTTCGGGCGTTGCTCCCATCGCGGGAGTGCTTCCCCTGGAAAACGAAAGCCCGATCTCACATCGGCACGGAGGTAAACCCCGATCCCGCTTTTCACAGGCGGGTCATCGGTACGGAGGTAAAACCCGATCCCGCTTTGCACAGGCGGGTCATCGGTACGGAGGGAAACCCCGATCCCGCTTTTCATAGGCGGGTCATCGGTATGGAGGTAAAGCCCGATCCCGCTTTTCACCGGCGAGTCATCGGCACACATTCTCAAAGCTTAAACGTCTTCCGACAGGCTCAGAGGAGAAACGCCTTCCGATAGGAATAAATGCCTCCCGACGGGCTGAACATAAAATGCCTCCCGACAGGTTAAGAGGAGACACGCCTCCCGACAGGCATAAAGGCCTCCCGACAGGTTCAAAGCTTAAACGCCTTCCGACAGGCTCAGAAGAGAAACGCCTTCCGACAGGCATAAATGCCTCCCGATAGGCTCAAAGTTTAAATGCCTTCCGACAGGCATAAACGCCTCCCGATAGGCTCAAAGCTTAAACGTCTTCCGATGGGCTCAGAGGAGAAATGCCTTCCAATAGGCATAACAACGCTTCCCGACAGGCTCAGAGGAGAAACGCCTCCCGACTGGCTAAGAGAAGACACGCCTCTCAACAGGCTAAACATAAAACACCTCCCGACAGGCTCAAAGCTTAAATGCTTTCCGACATGCTCAAAGGAGAAACGCCTTCCGATAGGCTAAGAGAAGACATGCTTCCCGACAGACTTAGAGCTTAAACGCCTTCCGACTGGCTCAAAATAAGAAAAGCATCCACACAAGCTGGAAGACAGAACTCCGGACCAGTCTAAAAAACCCACATCTCCCGTCCCTGTGAATGTCTTGAATTACACCTCCCAAGTCATGGGGGCCACCCCCTAGCACATAGTTAACAACAATGGGCTAGTGGGACAAATATCAAACGATTTGAGAGCTCTAACTCAAGTCATCGAAATCTAAGCAAGGGGCAAGGATAATGTCACGCAACTTGTACAAGGGGGCAAAACACGTCAACAACACTCAGAAGCACAACGCCTCTCGACAGGCTCAAAGGGAAAATGCATCATCCAGTCTAAAAAGTAAGGCAAATTAATACGGTTTAAAATATTATTTTACTCCTTCCATTCTTACAGAATACAAGAAGTAAAGAGGCAATTGTTGGGTGTGGTATTAATCCGCCTAATACGACAAACAACTACGTCATCAACGGGCCCAAGCCCATCACCCCATACATCTTATCGGGCCCAAGCCCACGAAAGGAAGCCCAAGACTCCTATAAAAGGAGACTCATGCCTCCAAACCAATGGGGATCCTCTCCTTCTCTTACTCACTTTCTCCTAAGGTCTCTCTACTTTATCTCTCTACATACCACACACTCTCTCTTACATCGTACTAACTTGAGCGTCGGAGCGTAGATCCCGAGGGCCACCCCCGCCTCACAGGTTCTTCCACTCCCTAGGAGATTGAGCGACGGAGTCCAGATCGGAGCCCGTAATTACTATGTTAGCCCTGGGTACATTCTTGGGTGAAACAATTACCAACACTAATCCCCTCTTGGAGAAAGAAACTCCTGATCCTTCTCCAACTTCTCCATGGCCCCACTCTCCAAGATAATCTCCACGTCGATCCCACCTTCCTTCCCCCGGTACAAAAACACCATCCCGTCGAACCGGTTGTTCGACCCGCTCCGAACGCTCTCGGGTCGTCCGAACCCGAAATCCACCTCGTAGACCCGAAACCGCGGTGAGCTCCTAACGGCCACGCAGTTCGCCATAGCGTCCTTGTATTGGAACACCTTGGGCGCCGGCTCCCACTCCTCGTTCCTCCGCGTCGTTCTGCTCGATCGCTCCATGAATCATCGCAGCCCCGAACTCCGACTGGTAGGACCGTGAAGATCGCCTGGATCAGATTCCCGAAGTAGCTCTCCGGCATCGCCAGGTTGACCCGCTTCCTGCAATCGATGAAGATCGTGAACACTGTGTAGTCCTCCGGGTTTAGCTCCCTCGCCCGGGTTGCGTGGCGCCAGATGTGGGCCCCCAGCGACTGGAACGTCGAGAACAACTTCTAGCCGTTCGATGTCGGGGTGGAGTTGACCGTTGACTTGATCTTGGCGATTGCTGCTTTGGGGAACTTGAACACCTTCTCTCTGAGGATTTTCGCCACAGAATTGTCGTTGTTGGGCTTGGTGAGCGCGTCCGGCGGGGAAAGGTCCAGCTTCACCCGCGTGTTGCGGACCTTGGTCCGTTCCAGGAACGGCGGGACCGAGATGGAAGTGGACTCGCTGCATATCTCGGCCCATGAGCCCATGAAGTGCCATGTGGACGTCCCGTCCAGGATCGCGTGGTTGAACGCCAAGCCCATCGCCAGCCCGTCTCTTAGCTTCGTCAGCTGCACGACAAAGCATGTGGTAAATAAATAAAATACATATTTGTAATATACAGATTATTTACTGCTCCTCTGTAAATGGGTCCCACACAATTTACTACCAATCAGTAATTCATATATTTGACCTTGCTTTTAGAAATGCTTTTCGGCTTCAAAAGTTGAAGCAGGGGCAAACACCTCTAAAACCTCTATGTTTAAAAAGCCGAAAAGCGTTTTTGTATAACATAAAAGCAGAATCGGAGCTTCTGCGAAAAAATGTTTTGAAAATACAAGATTATCCTTACCATATTTTAATTTTCTTTCATTTATATCATTTTAAAAATAAAATAAATAATAAAATCATATTATTTAATATTAAAGAAATCTAACAAGATCCATTTTGACTACTTTTAATGGTTTAGAATTTTTATTCATAGTTCATATTATAAGTCCTTTATAGTCATTTTATATAACCTCTCATATTAAAAAACACTTCTAATAGTTTTTCAGCCAAACACTCAACTGTTTTTTTTAAAAGTACTTCTCTAAAAGCTCAAGACAGAAGTTGTTTCTGCAAAACCTACAGCAGGGCCATACTAAGCTAATATAATGACGGAATACGACCCATGCAGATCGGCAATCAAAACAGTTAATTAAAGTCAAACAGACGGTATTTTTTTTTTAACCTGAATGCCGAGCAAGGGGCGGTGGAGGCCATGGACGTTGAGGACGCCACTGTACTGAATCAAATCCTTGAACGCTGTGGTACTATCGTCAGCGGCGGCCTCGGAGAATTCGACGCCGGTGCCGTCCATGTCGTCGTCGTCGTACTCGACCCTGAAGACGCCTTCGTCGTCCTTCCCCAACCGGCCAGCGAGCTGGTAGATGTCGTCGAGGACAGCGGCCAGGCCTTCCTTGAGCTTGGCCGCCACGTCGACGAATTCGGCGTGGGATTGGTAGATGAGGAGCTTCTGGTTGTAGTAGAAGGCGAGGTAAGGGAGGTCGAAGGTGACCAGCTGGTAGTCCTTCCTCCCGATTTTCCTTGACGGCGACGGTGGCCATGTTTGGGTTGAAAGAAGGGGAAATGAAGTAGATGGGTAGTGAGAAAGGAAACTAAATGAGAAGAAAGCAGAAGTGGGGGGTTTGGGCGGTTACGATTGACTTCTTTCTCCTTCGGTGGCTAAATTTGCCGGAACAAAATGGCTTGGAGTACGTACGTGTCTTTATCATGTAGTTTCACAAATGGTTGGACCACGTCAAATCTTTTGTTCCACGCAGATTTTTCAAATTAATCGTTTTGGTAATTAGACTTGCTTGGAGATAGCTAGCTTCTTGTTGAAGTCTATCATTAAGTTTAGACTTTGACTAGTTCTTGGTCTAATGTGTGGTTAAATTAACTTTTATTTGTTATTGCTTACATGCAATGAGGATTCGAAGACCTTCAGGTTACACAAATAGCTACTGCTTGATCAAATACGCATTACAAATATGATGAACAAGGAAATAAATTCCATATTTGTGCAATTATCATTGCTAAATAATTTACGATTAATCCCCAAAACAGAAATAAGGAGATGGTCTCTTATTACTCACTAGCACAGGGCCCGACTCATTGCCCGGAAGAATTTTGTCGAGGAATATGATATATAATAATGAATATAATAGATTATTTGAAATGCATGAAATGATTGTTTTATACCTTAGTTATGCACATAATATTTTTGAAAGTGATCCAACTATGCATAATATGTTTAGACTTTTGACCTTAATGAAAAGAGAAAAAAATATAATATAAGCATTACATATAATTATTGAATGAAAAAAATAACTAATTATCATTCATTACTTAATTAAACCATATAGTTGAATATTAGAGTTGCTTCTCATAATACATACATACATATATACATACATAATCAACCTTTAGGATGAAAGAAATTGTGTCATAGAGTTTATTATGTCTTTTAAGTTTTTCCCAATAGAGAGCATTCTTTTTTACTACACTGTTGGTAATGAATATGAAGTTGCTTGATTTGAAATATATAGAACATGATGTTAAGCTGTCGCTAATAGTTAGTTGGACAACGTGTTGTCTAGAAACAATGTAGTAATTTTCATGCAGCAAATATTTTTTTCATGAAATAATTCAATAAATAAAAATGTATGAAAATAATGTTACTTAAAATATATGTTACTCGTTAAGTTGATGAATGAGCGAGAGTATGTGTAACATACATTTATTTTAAAAAGAAAGAAGTTGCAAAGTGTCTTTTGGGTTGCATGAGATCACATATTCTCATTATCGCTAACTGACTTATGCTTTTTTGCAATAGATAGTTCAAAATGTGCTTTAAATCTTTTGTTTCCACCAGTGTAAAAGAATTTTTTGAACCAAAGGATTGTAAAATCGTATCGAAAAAGTTGGTAGTAGAGTATTTTATACTGAAGTCATAATTTAAATCTGGTTCAACGTCCGTTTCATATTGCTAATATTACCTATCGATTTAGCATATGATGTGAAGTTTTATGGTCTAACCGTCGGTACGTACGATCTTTCAATCAATGCAGTTAAAATCGTGATTTAAAACTTAAAAACTTACGGTTTTACGCTTCCAGGTCACCAAAACGCTTTCGTTTTCATATAAAAACTTTAGTGCACAAAATCGGACTAAATTGCGTTTTAAAGCTTAAAAGCTTACGCTTTTACGCTTCTAGTTCACCAAAACGCTTTACACTTTTACGCTTCTAATTCACTAAATGGGTATTATTTTCATGATATTAATTATAAAAGTATATTTTAATGGTAAATTACCAACAATATGATACATTTGAGATTAAAAGATACATAACAGGTACTTGGACGCATTCTCAGCTTCAATAGAGTAATCTAATTCACTAGCTATAGCTAGGCTCTTCCCAAATTCATTAGCATAGAGGGGAAGGTGGCTTATTGTTAAGATTTATGTTTATGAACTTATTATTAAGAGGCTATTAGCTTCTCTACTTTAGGTATGAATTGCGGGTGCTTATTAACTTTTCTAAATTATGTGCACTCATATTTTACATAGTATATGTCGTACTTAACAGTTTTGTAGTTATTTTAGAGCATGCGTAAAAAACTTACGCTTTTACGCTTTAATTCTACGTTTTACGATTTTACCACTTTTCTGTTTCTAGGTAGAATCGCGCTTTTGACTGCATTGCTTTCAATACAAACTTTAAATAAAAAACCACTAAAATATTGTCATTATCAAATGCTCCTTAAATCTCAGAAATTACAATAATCGTATTAAGGAAAATCTTCCAAATGATAATATTGATTTAGTATTTTAAATTGAATGGAAAAAACATGTCAAATATAATGTCATCTCCTAAAATAAATCAAAACTCAACATAATAGGGCCAAGAATATCCACTAATCAAAACAGAAGGGCAATTATTTCACACTATCTAATTTTTCTCCTCTTTTAAATGTCCTCTCACTCTCTCTTTGCCTTCCTCTTTGTTTTTCCATTTGTTATTCCATCTCTCTCTCAATTTTGTATCTCACAACTCACCCCCTTTTCCCTTCCTTTTTCTTTCTACCGTTTGGAATAGAAAGAAACCTATAAACATCTCAACTACTTCTCCAATTTTGCATTCGAAATACTTATTCTCAATTCACAATCGATAGTGTGAATCAGAGTACCTGAAACTAGATGGTCGCTTATTCATCGACGGAGCAAAGTAGCTTGATAGTTTGTGAATAAACTAATTTTTAAAAATGATAAAAATCAGAACTCGTTAAACCAATCGAGTGAGTGTAACATTAGTTCATCGCTTAAAGCCTTTAAACCATTGTATTTATCTAAAGAATCAAAATGCGTAATCAGGTTCATCTTCACTTTACATGTATTTGTCGTAAAAATTCATTACACATAAAAAATGGTTTTGAACTGAAGCCATATTAAAATAAATCTCATCTTATGATTATTGGATCTATGTCAGATTAGCAAAAGTTCTAACTTCTAAGGCTATTGGTCAACCAGACTGAAAATTAATAATAATTTAAGAATTATATATCGCTTCCAAAATGTTCAATACTCCAATTCAGTATGCAATATTCAATATTCAAACAAATGATATATGAGTTTCAACCATTGCTCAAAATTTTCCCCACATTCCTCACACACATTTGCAAAGAAATACTAAATTCCAATTTCTTTTTCACTTTACTTGCTTCTAAAATTATTGTTGACGTTGTTTGTTATTACTGCAAGCTGTTAAAAAAGACTTTTCAGCTATGAAGTTAATCAAGAATGATTTTATAAATGAATTTTTAGTTGTATACATTGAAAAGGTTTGACTCTCAAAATAAATAGTTAATGTATTCTATAAAGCTTTTAGAATATGAGCCGTCACACATTGATGTGAGAAACTACTAAATAATTCAAGTTTTATATGTTATTTTTAGAATATTTTATTTTATTTTTATCAAATGATGCATTTCTCCATAAAAACAGGTGCTCACCAATATAGACTGTGTGGTGCTTGCACTTGTGCGAAAGCCCTTGAAGTTTAAGTCTGGTACGACCCATGAAGCATTCTTGCTTGTACATAGCCGATCCATATACATTGTCTTCATGGTATGCTCTAACTGTGTCGTGCTAGCTCGACCATGTGCCTAGGTATAGTTATATGCATTATAATAATTAAGTTTCTACCTATTCACAACACCAAGATAAAAATAGTAATAAATGCACCCAGTATTCAATTTTGACTACCTGATGAAATACTACATTTGAATAAATTACAAAGGATGTCACACATAATAATTATACCTCTAAACATACATAAATATTTCAAACATCGCAAATATTAAGATTAAATTAATTGTTATAAAGAGTAAAAATTGTATAGTGAGGTTAATTATAATACATTTACATGTTCATGCCCTATAAATTGATCAACACATCAGATCCAAAACTGACGAAATGAAAATCACATTAAACTCGATATTGTCCAATTATTATCGGGTCCATTCATGCCCGATTAGCAGGAGCTTAACATTTAGCAGTTAACCATGCTGAAATTTTAGAGAACCAGTCACCTATAGTTTGTACAAAATATTATTGTTTCGTATTAGTTCTGAAAATTCATATTAATTTAAAGAATTCTACATCGCTTTTGCATATTCAATACTGCAGTTCGATATGAATATTTCAAGCAATGAAATTTGTGTTGCAATTTTAAGATTACCCGTCATTTTAAAGGTTATAAAAATTATAAACCGCGTATTAAACTTTGCTTTTCAGAAGATTTAATAGGCTAGGAAATGTATTTTACCTGAAATTATTATATCTTATAGAAAGTGATTACTGATCAATTGTGAAATCGGAACTCAAGTAACATTGATTCAAACATTAAATAATAAATTTGTATGTGTGGTTCAGTTTAGACAAAATACATGTGTGTAACCAAAACATGGATATTTGTGACAAATATAGTTATTTTTTGTCACAAATCTATACATAATATAAAGATAAATTGGGCACTATGATGAAAAGGAGCTTCCTAGAATCACTCACAGGCCACGAAATTTGAAATGAGACTCATTTCCCAATTTTATCATTATATTATGTGTAGATTTGTCACAAAAAAAATGATTATACTCATCACAAAGGTCCATGTTTTGGTTACACTTCTGTTTTTTGTCTGAACTAAACAAACACATACAATTTAATATTAATGTTTGAATCACTACTACTTAAGTTCCAATTTGAGAACTAATTTCTTTCGATAAAATATAAATATAGAAGCATCATCACCAAACATATTCCTAGAGTTCAATCAAAGAAAAATCAATAAATGAAATGTAGTCTAATTGGTTCTCATGTTGTTTCTTCATTCAAGTGACCAAGGATCAAACTCTAATGATAAAAAATTTTAATATATAAACATGAACTGAGTGCAATGACAAAAACAACCTTTCTAGAATCACTCTCGGGCCACGAAATTTGAAATGGAAGAATTCCAA